TAAATGAGAGCTGCTGCTTTGTCAGACAAATTTAATTTAATTTAATTTGGAAGCCTTATCAACACGGACTGGCTTCATTCACTTCCTCCACTGCTGTATGCTAAACTAGCAGACACTGTGTAGAAAATCGATGTCATTTAAAACTCCTCCTTTTGTTTGCTAATTGGCCCAGGTAAAATAAACTACAGACACTGCAGAAAATTGATGTCATTCAAAACTCCTTCTGTTTGCTGATTGGCCCAGGTAAAATTCTCCTGAAGAAATCCTTGTCTATGGCAGAAATCCCAGACGGAGCAGTGAAGGGTTGAAACTAGAACTGAGCAGAACTACGTAGGAAGGCAAGGGCCAGGCTACTTTGTAATCAGCTGTTGCTGTTTTTCTTTCTTGAAATACAATTTGTCACACATTATGTTCCTCAAATAGGGGAACCATTCACAGTTGTAGCTCACATCTAGAATAGATTTGGAATTACATCATCTTCATTAATGGTCACACTTAATTTCAAACAGAACCCAGCAATGGAGACGGTTGAAGAGAGTAGAGAAACCAGTGCACCTATGACCATATCTCAGCTCCATGCTTGAGATTTTAGGACTGAAAAATAGTTTGTATCAGTTTAAATGTCTTCTGTGTTCATCACAGATAAACTACATTTCTGCATTTAAGAACTCACCACTCACTTTATTGTATTTTTATGCACAAGTCTTTACAGGTGGTGTAGAACTTGTACCATAGTGGTTCAATGTGTCAGTACATCAGGTGGTTTCTGAGAGTGTAAAATCACTTTGAAAACAATACAGCAATGTCCTGATATTAGAAAATGTTATTTGTACTTTGGAATACTTGAGTACTTTTAAATGCATGTATTTTTGAATACTTAAGTATTTTCAAAAGTAAGTACTTCAGTACTTTAACTTGACTCAAGTACTAGAGTTGAGTACTTTGTCCACCACTGTGCCTTGGTCATTTCAAATGACAAGTGCAGAAAAAAAGATGTCTCAGGCCTGTTTTAAAACTGAAGTGTCAAAGTGGATACTGGCACCTGATGTCTGTTTTAGCAGAGAAAGCTAAAGGCTAATTTATTCTTCAAGCAAAAAAATAAATACCAATTTTGTGCTAGTCCTTGTAAATGTAATCTGACCAAGTTTGCAAGCCTCAACACAAACTTTTTTTTTTTGTTTTATGCAAACTGAAACCTAATCCTGCCTTGTAGATGCTCCAAATTCTGTAAACATATTCACCAGAAAATATGGTAAAAATGAATATATGTTCATTGTGATGTCATGGAAAAAAATACAACCTTGTCATGCTCTAAATTATGTAATTATACAAATAAAACTGTGTTTAACTGTGTTAAAACAGTTTCTACATTTAATAACCATAAATAATAGCCCAATTTTCACTACTGGGCCGAAGGCAGTGCAACAAGGATGTACAGTGCCAGTGCCCGTTTAGGGACTTAAATGGGCTCTTTCAAGGCTAGGGGAGGAGGGGGACACAATGGGTAGCTACAGTACAATGCAGTTTATAAACCCTACTGTCCAATGACAGTAAAGTTTCCAATGCTGATTATAAATGTAATCATTTGATGACCTCAGTTTTTAAGCAAGTATATACTCTCTTTTTGAGATTAAACTATACAGCCAATTATGTTGAAAAATGTTCAAAAATGTTTTTAAAAAGGCAATGCTGTAAAATGCTTGACAAATAAACAACTTATCTTCGGGTTTTATTGAATTAAATGTCAGCAATATAATCTACTGATCTTGCTCTGGTCAACAGCTGTAGTTCCAATATAACTAAGAAAATGGTACCCCCAGAAATGATATCATGAAGTTTCTCATGTTTAACATGATAGCCATGTTTCCATCAACAGATTTTTATGCACATTTTGAAGCATCGCCTAAGAAAAGGTGAATGAAAACAGCAAAATTTGCAAAAGCTTAAAATCATATAAACTTCATTTCACTTCTCAAATATCACTGTGTTTGTCCCCTATATGATATATTTAACAGTTTTTTTATCCAAACAATCAATGATTCATAAAAGGTAAATCAGGAAAATTAACAAGGATGCCCAAACTTTCACACCCCACTGTATTAGGCCTTAATAATCATGTGTTCCTTGGAGAAAGAAGAAAATACACGCCAAACAAAAGCTCAGGAGGTTAAAAATATATACTTAAAAATATAAACATTATAATATTTCCAATGATTTTTTTTCTCTGGGCTATACCAACAAATAACATGATCTTAAATGTCTGATACCTTCACTGCATGCTATCAATGCTTTTTTTTTTTCCAGATGGGAAATCCCAATTTTCAAATTAAGTTATGAGGCTTTCCTCTTAACTTATTTCATATGATGTCAAAAATTCTTCATTAGAAAACTCTAGGACAGACCAAATATCCAGACTTTATTAAAATTAGCAAGACAAATCWAGCAATATCTCTGGAACGGCTCATGGATGATCAGGTATCAAAAAGTACCTGAGRTTATAACTTGAAAATAATACAGCCATCCAACCTTTTACAACCACGACATCTTAAAGTATTGGTGACATTCCTTTTCAGTTGTCTGCTCTCGTTCTTTTGCRGAGTGATTTATCTTGGATGTATTTAGAATTCAAAGGTCGCACTGATGAGCAAACGTGGGCGTTAAAATGGCCTTTACAAGTTTAAGCCTCAAGTTGCATGAGCTTAGGGACTATTTAAATGTGACTTTGTCGGAATTAAAAACACAAAGTACAAGCACATTTATATCGCTGCTTAAAAAATGACAACAGCAAAGATTTACTAATATGATGAAGTAAGGAGCTAAAGACTCTGCAACAACATAGTCAAAGCAGGTCTGCAATATAACAGAATGGGTTAAAGGTTTGTCCATACATACATTACAACCATGGTTACACAAAACAAACAGACAAAAAGCAGAAACAAAGCTGAGCATGGGGGTAAAATATTCAAGATGAGACCATTACCAGTTTACTATTCTCTGAATGAAATCATTCCTGTTTTCATTTAAAGTTACCTCTAATTACACCACAAACAGCCGACCAGCATGACCTCACATCCTTGGTCTAAACCCCCACCCTCAGAAAAACATGTGCAAATGCACGCTTGTTTATGAAACAACACACCCACACATGCATCTGTGCACAATGCAGTCTTCCACAAGTATTTACAAGCACATGTGCACCTTATTTCACTGACACACGACCAAAGCACAGATGTCATTATAAATGGCAACTTGGTATCTCCGGTACCTTGCAGAACTTTAGTAAAAGCAAAATGGAGCTACCACTGTTTTGGGGTAGTTGTGGCACTTTTATTAAGTTTATAGAAAACATTCTTTGCCGTTCTTTCCTTACAAAGCTGTAAAGCAGAGGAGGAGGAAATCTTTTTGTTCCAAGGCCTTTAAATGCCAGTTAATATTTGCCACTCTGTCCTCTCAAGTAAGATCAGTTTGCAACTCAAATGGAACAGTGATTCACTCTGTCCATATTTAGACAGATATTTATTATTTATTATTTTGTTCAGTTTATAATTCCAACCTATTCTTGAGTGTGCTGAAGGACAGGGAGGTCAATAATTGAAACAGGAAACGCAACCGAAGCTCTTGGCAAGAAACCAGTTTGGAGCAGGGTGACTTGAGTGACAAGATGGCTTGGCAAGGATTTGTTTTTGGTCTTAAAACAGATCCACGCCTTAATACTGGACATACTCTTCCTCAGAAATGGCCTACATCACCCTAGAGGTCGTTTTATTTTATTTACAAGACACAGAGTTTGTTGCTGGTGATGGACATGCAGGCTCTGAATGCCCAGAGAGAAGCACTGGGGTGGAGGAGGGGGAGCATTCACAGGATAGGAAAAATTAGTCATTAAAAACAAACAAGATATATTTTGGCTACAGAAAGTACGTTAAAATAAATCAAGCATTTTGTTTGTTTGCTCAAAGTATAAATATATACAGTATATATTTTATTTTATTTTTTTATATWTTGTTGCAACAGCTTACATTTCCAGACTTCTAGAAGATCAGCTCTGGTCTTTATTAATTTACAAGTTATTTACAATATTAAATTTATCTTTCTTTTCATATTTCAGTTTTTACAGGTCTCCGTGGCACGATGACGACGAGCACATTAAACTGTCACACTGCAGTTGGTGTCATGCAAAACAAATTAACCGTTTTCTTTTTGCTTCATGATAAAAAGTGATTGTAAAATAGTTCAGATTTTCCATTGTTAAATAGCTGCCGGCAGTTTTTAAATCAGAACCAAACACAAAGAAGTACTCAGGTAAGGCATTAGAAGGTAGCCTTTAACAAAAATACCACAAACTCGCAGTAATTAAAACTAAAATGTAAAATTGTATTACAAGCTTGCCTTTTTAATGAGAAATGTGCTGAGTAATATGCAACTAATGCTGCAGCAAAATTCAGCTATAACTTTATAGTTATTGTTTACCTTCTATAGTTGGTTCCCAGATCTACATAAGGAGTCAAATTGTGATAGTCTCTTTGTAAAATCTAAATTTTCTTTAAGATCTCAGCGAACCGTCCATCCATCCATTATATATACCCGTTTCTTCCTTTCAGGGTCACGGGGATCACTGGTGCCCATATCCAGCAGTCACAGTGCGAGGGGCGGGGTACACCCTGGACAGGTCACAAGTCCATCACAGGGCCACACAGGGACAAACGAGACAAACAACCATTCACTTTCTCACTCACACCTAGGGACAATTTAGTTTCCCAGAGAACCATCGAGTCTTTTTTAACAGATGAAATGAACAAGGAGATGAATAAAAACAAAACACAAAAAAGAACACTGGACAATTTATATTTTAGTTCTAAAGGAGAAATTATTGAACTTATTGTTCAAATATATTGTTTTAATTCACTTTGTCAACATTGGGAGTCCAATAAATTGATGTTAACTATTTCAATTGCTTCAGTGGCAAGCCCGCAGATATTGTTTAGATTGATTTAAACTAGAGCTGTCAGTTTTAACGCGTTAATCGTGCGTTAATTAAAATAGTATTTGACGCCGACAATTTTTTTTATCGCACGTTAATCGCGCATCAAAAACACACTTTTCACTAAGACCACACGCACACACACAGCGCTTTCTGTACTGTGAGTTTTTCTTTTTTTTTCCCTYGGCGCACACCGTAGCTCCAGGAAAAACAAGTGCGTGGTAGCAGGACGATAGCATGACTTTAATAAGCAGAGATGGCCAGCGGAAAAGGTATCTTAAATGGCAAGTTTCTTTTCAAAGTTATGCCAGATGGCTCTCTCGACAAAAACAGAGTTGTTTGTACTTATTGTTGCGAAATGAGTTACCACCGGAGTACGTCAAGTCAGAAATACCACTTGTTAGCCAAACACACCGCCAACACAGGAAACAGCCAACAACAACCAACTCGACAGACAACGCTGGATAATGTCCACCAAAAACCCATGAGCAGCGCCACCAAAAAACGACTTGGAACAGCTCTAGCTAAATGGATAGCTACCGCTTGCAGACCGATTAATGTTGTTGAGGATGAAGGTTTGCTTGAAATTATTCGCATTGCGAGCAACGATCCTACATATGAACTTCCTTCAAGAGCTTCAACTGTGACCAAGATAAACAATTTGTATGAAGACAAGAAAGCTAACGTGAAGGAAACTTTGGAGCAGACAAACACGGTGGCGCTCACAGGTGACTATTGGACTTCTCTCGGCAATCACAACTACCTCGGGGTCACGGCACATTATTTTAGCCCGCAGTGGGAACTACAGTCGCATGCTTTGACTGTTATGAAAACAGAGGAGAGGCACTTTGCTAGTGTATGCGCTGACCACTTTATGCACGTGGCAAGGCAGTGGGATATTGAGCATAAAGTCACTACTCTGACTACAGATAGTGCACGTAACATGATGGCAGCAGCCAGACAGTTGCCCTTCGAGCATATGCCTTGCATCGCTCATACTATTCATCGAGCTATCACAGTTTCTTTGCAAAACAGCCCGTTTGACAATGCACTCGCAAAATGCAGAAAGTTAGTGGGACATTTTAAACATAGTCCTTCTAACATGGCAGAGTTGGAACAGAAGCAGATTGTGCACAATCAGAAGACAGAGTCACTCACACAGGATGTGTCTACAAGATGGAACAGTACCCTGGAGATGATCAGCCGTGTACTCAGAAATCAGGAMCCTCTGAAAGATGCTCTGGCCCTACATCCAGCCAACATCACCATGCCAACACCTGCTGAGCTGGATAAACTGAAGAAGCTGGAGGAAGTGTTGGAGCATTGCAGGTATTTTATTTATGTTTGTGCTGAGTTGTGCTAAAGTACACATGTAGTATTAGTAACTCCCTACTCTGTAATGATTACATTTACTCAACATACAAAATATTCTGAAATGTCCCTAAATATGCAAGTTTTTATTATCACATGTTTTTAACCAGTTTTTTTTTTTTTCATATATACAGGTACGTCAGCAACCTTCTGGGAGGAGAGAGATTTGTTTCCTGCTCAGTGGTGCTGCCAGCATTATGTCATCTGTCAAGGGTGATGGAGGTCTCTGAGGATGACCCAGCTTACATGGCTAAATTTAAGGTGAGCTTCACAACGGACATGGACAAACGCAAGTTAAAAACTAACATCACATGGCTGAGGACTGCAAGCGCCCTTGATCCTAGGTTCAAGAACCTTAAGTGTCTGAGCAGACCTGAGAGGTCTGAGGTGTGGTGGTCTATCACTGCCTTACTCAGGGAGGAGGAGACAAAGAGGCCTGGACAACCAGAG